TGATCCAGCATTTTCTGTCATCATGACAAGACATTCTCATTTGATCGAAGATCGATCAGCTATGTATCCGTATCGGTGGATACATATGCATATACACGATTGGCTGCTGTTTCTCTAATCTAGCTGTTCAAACAAGAAGCGAAAAAGAAACTGACCTCAGCTTCATTGAGAGTTGAAAGGCATGAAAATGAGCAAGTTACTCTGTTTCTGCTTGACAGGTGGGTAACATTTACTTATTTTTGCTGTTTCACTGAACTAATAGGTCAGTACAGTTATGATATCCCAACTGGTTAGCTTCAGCTTAGAGATTGTAGCGACAATTTGCAAATCCACAACCTAGCCAGCGTTACATTACTTGCTGTGTCACTGTTCGCTCTAACTTATAGCTGCTTTGTAACAACACCTGTTGTAAAAAACACTATATAAATAAACTTTGACTTGACTTACTGTGCCATCAAAAATTTGGCATCCAGCCCCGCCCTCAATTAGTATCGGCTACTGGCCGATCATGTTGAAAGCTGAACAGTCCATCTCTAATTTTCATGATACACAATATGCATCACAATATTTAGTTGTTCTGAGGTCTGATAACTTGTAATGGAGATAAAAGAATTGTATTTTAAAATAATATCAAATTCAAAAGCTATGAGTATTAATTATTTTTAGCATTTTTATTCAATACTTTGCATACTTAATCAGGACTTTTTATACTCTCCTTGTAATGAAACATGGTTGGTCAGTGTTCTTTACAAACTAGCAAAAGCCACATTATGCTAACTTACCACAACAAACTTAAGTTCATATAGGTTATATATTCACATAGGAATATTTTGTTCTCGTCAGCAATAACTGCAACTTCCAATAGTGAAGTAAAGCACTACCAGACATTAAAAACATTATGATTTGAGACGATTTTTTGTTTAACAGATCACAGAACATAATGCTTGCGCTGTGTGACATTGTGTGATTATGACAGCTATCTTCGCAAAATCAACAAGTACCCAATACTGCATTTTGGACAAGTCAGGACAATTATGTATGTAATCTTTTATGATACAATCAGTATGTGTGTATGTATATATATATATATATATATAAAATATATTTATTTCAAAGCTGTCAGGGACCTTTGGTAGTCGAGGGTTATTACTTTCATTTTTTTATGTAAATAACAAAATAGTTGCAGCTTTAATGACATAATGAGTTATGTAAGAAACTACTTTTACATCCAATTTACATTTTGTATTGACAGGTTCAACTTTAATGAAGTCTAATAAGTTTAATAAAGACAGTCTTCTGTCTGTTTCAGTGTCAAGAAATGACAAAAACATAAAATTCATATAATCACAATTGAAAGAATTTTTTTTCTACTTATTTCAATGAAAAGTGAGAAATAATATGGAATATCAAATTACACTATGCTCTTATCACCAGCAATAACAGCAGGGTTAAGTGAAGTACTATTAGGAACGAAAGACAGCTTCCCCAAAAGATTTATCATATCAGCCTGTAGATGCCTCTCTAATTAGAAAAAACTGTCATCAGTTAACTAATGTGATTTACATGTGCCTGTGTCCTTTGATGTCGGCCTTTTGAATAGATAACCACCTACTGACAACTGCAAGTAAAGGGTCATCTGTGTGCAGCAGACGTGTTGGCAGAGGTGTGAGCAAAGCCACTCACTGAGCTTCACAGAATGTGGCTTTTCCTGCTGTCATGCAGTCTGTAAAGAGGAGTACATGTCTGCACTTAACTGCTGATTTAAATCTTACATATAGTAGGTATAAGAAAGCTGTTCTGAGCAGGAAAAACAGAGGCATGCTTCAAGGTTCCATACTCCATAAAGGTGAAGTAAAAAAAGGATAATAAATAAATTAAAAAAAAAATTCTATCTCTCTCTCTCTCTCTCTCTCTCTCTCTATATATATATATATATAGAGAGAGAGAGAGAGAGAGAGAGGGGTTAACATAGGCATTGTATCTAAAGGCATCATTACTTAGGCACACAGCTAAATATAAACTTGAGGATGTGGTTTTTTGTTCTTCCATATGTCTTACCCTAGCTGTACATGACAGGAAGTGCTATTTAGAGCCATTCACCTTAAGTATTACCATGACGAGTTACTGTGCTTGGAATGATCAACGTCAGATAGGAGTGTGTCCATATACAAATTAGAGGTCTGCACGGGTATGAAACTGAAGCCCGACCCGATCTGACCCGACCTGATTGGTATAACTAAATTTGATACCCGAACCTGGCCCAGCATGGACTAACAGAGAGGGATTATCACTGACATGGTTTTACCATGTTTTGCTTCGTTATTATGCACCTGAGTTGATCAACAGAAAATGTGATGCAGGGATAAAGTGGTATTTTACATCTGTAATACATACATTTTTACTATCAGTATATTTTTGTGGAACTGGCTGAGAACAGCATCGACCCTTCTGTGACCAACTATTAACGTAAGTACCACTGCACTGAGACTCCTCACTATGCTGATAGTCTCCTTGTTTAAGAAACACTTAACACTTGAGCCCGATGTTGTACATTAAAACATCGGCCCAAACCCGGCCCCAAACATGATCTTATGACAGCCCATTCAGACCCATCAGGATAGCAGACCTCTAAAACAAATTTCACGATAGGATATAGAGTGTGGTTTTTGATCCATGATACAAAACATTTCTAATAGAGAAGCAAAAAAAGAAGCGGTACCATTCATTATGCTGTTTTCTGGAGTAAAGCAAGGTCTGACTGATACATTGGTTGTCTGATATTAACAGAATAGAACAGTGGAAGCCATTCCAAATTTATGTCAGTGTGTCTAATGTCACAAATATTTAGCATGTAATTTAACTCTATTCAGTTTACAGCATGTATTGTCTCGTGACCACTGCACTGAGTTAATATGTGTATTGTAACACCCCAGCTTTTAGCAACTTCCCACATATTTCATAGCCAGTGCTGAAAAAAGAATCTCAAATCTAGCCATAAACATCACAATAGACTGGTTTATTTATATCCGGCTGGCATAGCCACCACACTGTGTTTGGGTGGGACGCAGTGATACCACACAATGGAACAAGTCATTTAACTGTGGCAGGTCGAGCCTGCGCGGCCAGGCCCATCGGGACACATTTTTAGAGAAAAGCACCACTCCTTTAATTGAAGGGCACTGAACACATTTCAAAGTTTGATGTTTTCATTCAGCAGCCATAACACAGAGCAGGAAGGGCAGGACCCATACCTGACCCGGGAGCTGACAAAGAAATATCGATGCATGTGTGCGTGTGTGCTTCTTTTCCTGCCTAGCAAGCAGCAGACCACCTACTGGCCGAGTTGAGCCCTGTCCACTCAATCCTAAATATGACACATGCCTTGTTATCTAAGCACAGTACCTCTAAAATGACGGGCCTTTGATTATTACAGTGTCTGTATAAGACACTGTGCCTGCAGCAATTATTGGGAGACAATTAAGTTGATGTAATAACTGTGAAAATACTTTCTTCTAAGAAGAGCAAAGTTTGTGGGAATCTACACGTAATTCTAGTGAACAGCAAACCCACGCACATTTGTCTGGTGCACGAAAGCAAAACTGAAATCACCATGTTACTGTAAAGATGCACTCATCAACTCCAATTATCTTAATTAAAACTCAGTGTTTCTCTCCTGCCCACACCCACTTGTTAAAGCAGAGCAAAAGAACAGGGTCTCTAATGAAGCAAGCTTTTTCCACTTTTTTAATTAGAAATCACGGTAAATGAAAACAGTTGGTTACAGTCTTTGCTAGAGATGCCTATCGGTATCATCTGGTATCAGTATTGGGCAGATATTAGCAGAAAATGCAGGCTACCAGGACTGGATTCATCTTTTTTCCCCCTCAGATATCCAGTCCTGGTAGCCTACATTCCTTTTAGATTCTCATCTTAAGTGAAGTGCTTCAAAACAACTCATAAAGCGTAGTATTTTTTACAGACAAAAAATACGGGACCGGCATTGGCTGATACTAAAGTACTGATATCAGTATTGGAAAAAAAAAACTGGTATCATACCATCTGTAAACTTTGCATGTGAATAGAAACACGTGTATAGAACTCCATATCAAAAGATGTTTGGTCATAGAGCAGGATGTGCTGCTTATACAACCTAGAGCTGTGGTACAGCCTGACCTTTCTGCAAGTTCCTATGACCAGTATGCGACCACATCACAAAATCATGATGCAGGAAAATGCGAGCAAGTAAACCATCCCACATTTTTTGCTACGTAGACTTGACTCTGCACAGGGACTAAAAATGTGGCACTACTGTACATGTCCTCAGCTGAAAGAGTGTCAAAATAAGCTGATATTTTGAAATTCAGCCCTCCGCCCAGGCCAGTGAGTGAGTAGAGTTCACTCTGCTGTGATACAGCTGAGGCGGGTACACTGTGCTGATGCCAAAAGCAGCACAAACACCAGCAAAGTAAGCGCAACAGACCAACGGAGAGCGATTTAAACTGCAGCAATACACATACGCAACGTTTTCTGGCCTCGAGGGGGATTTTAGTGGGAAATGACTGAGCTGAAGGTAAACAGGGTTTGTTTCACCTATACGCGGCAACAGGACATGTCTTCACACGTTTTCTCTGGAGTTATTGCGTTAGCTGTTTTATTAAGTATGTATTCAGCATATACATGGTCTTAAAGTGGGTAACCTACTGCTATTCAACAAGTTAAATACTTTTCTGGTGGATTTCTTTCGGCCACGCATTATTAGCCACTTCACTTCAGTGACTGCTCTGCCGTTGCTAGTCTGTGACTTCAGGTTAAACACGGTAGGTTAGCTAGCTTTAAAAATATGACAGACCAAAACGAACGTGTATGTCAGTAACATCTAAACCTGGCCACACAGCACACTTTTGTTTAAAAAAAAGAAAACAAAACTAACTGTAAAAGAGACTTTTTGTTCACTTCTCAAATCTAACAGGTTCCAAAAGCTAAAAGAGAGCGTTACTTACGTCGGGGGAGCTTCCACTAGACTTTCCCTTTGGCTAATAACTCCACAAGTTTTCCCCCCAAAACAGCGTTAAAACACAAAAACGAAGTCCAGATCTTTGAAGCAAAAAGGGTGAGAAAAAAGTGTCACGGATGGAAAGATAAACCTCGTTTTGTGATGTAAAGTCCAGAATTGTGTCGTATCTTCATCTTCCATCCATAGAGGTGAGAGCAGTAGATGCAGCTGGAGTCATTTTCCCGTTAGTCTCCTCAGAGAAAGTGAGCGAGAGAGAGTGGGAGAGCGGCAGCGACACAGAGCGAGAGAGAGAGAGAGGACCGCTGGATCTCGGCGTGACGTCACGCACACGCGGACTTTCTGCGTGGATAATTGAAAACACATTGTCAATTGTTTCTCAGTGCTGGAAAAAAGTAAATTAACAGTCTTTGTGTGCAGACAAAAGGCTGAAACTTACTGAAACAAGGTGTATATTTTCGACAAGATGACCCCAAAATAGTGCGGTATGCAATAATAGAACACTTATGTATTTATACCTAGGCTATATTTATACTCCAGTGAGCGTGGGCGCGCGCGCGTATGTAATTTAGGTCTTTCATATTTTGTGGTTGGATTGAAAATCAGGTTTTTTCACAAAAGCCTAAGCTTTAAAGGGCACATGTCCTGCACTGTATTCATTATTTTATATGCCTGAGATCCACTTATGACATCTGTGTGGAACATTTTCCCATCCTTACCACTTAGAATTAAACCAGCTTATTTTATTTTACTGTGCCTTTAAGTATGGAAATTGTCTATGTTCTAATTGGCTGCTCTGTCTTATGACTCATTCAAAAAGCAGGTCAAAACACTCAGAAGGTCGGTGTGAGTGGGCGGAGCTAAACTACTGTAGTTTGAAGGGATGGATGTATACACCAATGTAAAAGTGTTGGTTTTTGTGACATCACAAATATAGTGAACTTAAAATTGAATTGAATGTTTCCATGTTTGGATTGTATGGAAAACTGTGAAAGTATTTACATACTACAACGTTTATTTAAAAAACAAAGAAATCTGGATTTAAACCAAAGCGTTCCCATAAGTGTCCCATAAGACGAAAACCCCTCTTTCTTGTCACCCCTTCATAACATCCCAGAATTATTTACTAAACTGCTAAACTGACCCTCTTAAAAGTTAAACCTGCTTTTGGCCCATCTCTGGTTCGTTGCCTGAAACCATGATTTCATTAGAGTTCATCCTTTAGACTCTTAAAGGGCTCATATGCTACATTTTTCTTGCCTTAATCTTTTTCAGAGAAGTCCGCTTATGCGTGGGTTTATGTACCAGAATTAATTTCTACATGGCTATTTTCCAACATCTTTTTCTCCACTATAATTATATAGGCTGTTTTTCATTACTGTTCCTTTAGGAATAATATATGCAAATGACCTCTGTTCTGATTGGCTGCCCTATATTATGCTTCATTCAAAAGAAGCCCAGGTTGAAACACTCCTTATAACTTCAACTTGAATAGGCAGATATATGTAAATGCTTTGGTTGTGACATCACAGAAACAGTTGAGGGCCATTTTGCAGCTTAGTTTTCATATGTGGACTTTCCAATTCCAATATTCCAATATGAATGGGCAGAGCTAAACCGTGGTAGGCTGATCAGATGTATGTATGTAAATGAGTTGGTTCTGTTGATACAACAAGGAATTTAAAACAGGCTGTTTTTTGCAGCATAGCTTCCATAAATGGACTGTATGGACTGGGTAGAGAATGGTATGATTTCAACTTTACATTGAATCAAACCTCTGTATTTCAAAATGATTTTTTTCCCGTGATATGGACCCTTTAATATTATCAATACAGCATAAACACCTTTTCACTGAGGTGGTGGATGAGGAACCTCATGTGAATTATTGAGCAACAGGAGATATGAAAAGAATTCACATCAGTGGTCTCACCACATTTTAGTAAAGCAAACACCCAAATAGAGCCACAGTAAGGCGGTGGCTACCCGATAGGTGCTCTGCGTTTTTCAGAAACTACTGAAGGAGAACAGTGCACTGTTTATAATGAAAACTTCAAATAAATGAAAATCACAAGAGCAAATCTATACCTTCCAGCTGTGTTCTTAACCAGCTGTGAGTTTATAACTATGATTCTGTTTGAACTGTTATGTCTACACCCATTACTGACCCAGCTTTGGACAGGTCAGACTAAACTGAATATGCAGTCATGCATTAAAGTTACTTGATTCAAATGTCTACGTCATTTCCGTGTGAATGAATCAACATAATTTTGTCTTTCACTTGACTGACTTTTGGCAATAGTTGAGTTTATGTAATATATATTATGGGAAATGATGTCCAGATTCGCAGCAAATAAATTCAGTGTGTTACTTTCTCAGTGTTCCTGCAGAATCTCACGTTGCCCTCTGTACAACATGAGCCCAAACTAATGCTGAGGAAAATGCCTATAAGCAAGTTTAAACCCAGCTTAAAACCTTTAAAGCTCACCCTTGAATGAGTTCATTCAGCTAACAGCCATTTGTTTGAAGTGTTTTGAGAAATATTTCAAGGTTAATTCTCATGAGATTCTCGTCTAGCAGGATGTACAGTAAGCGGAGAACATTCTGGTTGCTGATACGTACAAAGCCAGTGATTTGCTGGCTGACTGTGAGAAAGACCCACCTGAGCGCAGACAGCAAAATGTTTCAGATCCACAGGCCTCTCTTGCTGGTTTTCAGCAGTATCAGGAGATTCATATGGGTGTGGAATCAGAGACAGGCAGAGCAGCATAAACTCATACTCAAGTGAAATTTTGGTAGCCTATCAAAACAACTGCGTGAGTAAAAAAGTCAGATCTGTGAACAAGAAGGGGGGAATGGAGTTGGTTAGTATATGGTCAGCCTGCCCTAGTTTAGGGCCATTTTTACAAAAGTATATTATTATATATTTCACAATGCACATATGATGAACAGTATATTAACCAATACAGTTTATATATAATTTATATTAAAATCTGTAAGTCATTCTTACCTCTGAGCTAAAGGCCAATTGATTATCAGTAAGTCTATCTCAAGATGAAAATTAATTAATTAGAATTAATTAATTCTGAACCAAAAAAAAGGTATTTGTATTAATATGAAATTAAATCTGAAATATTAGTAGAGGACCTATACATTTTCCAGCACATTCCATATGTATAACTGATTTAAAAAGCATTTTTGCCATTAAATGTTTATGTTTGTGGTTTGGTTTACATTAAAAACATTCCAAATGAAAAATAAATAAATAAAAACAGAGGACTTTTACTTTGTCCACCACATTCCTTGTGTCTATTTAAATAGCATTATTTGACATTAAGTGTTTATATTTATGGTTTGGTTTCAAAACATTCCCTGTGAAATATAAAATAAAATATAAATACATAAATATCAAATAAATGAAATACAAAGAGAGGACCTTTACTTTGTCCACCACATTCCTTATGTTTGATTCAAAAAGCATAATTTGTCCTGAAATGTTTATATTTGCAATTTGAATTAAAAACGTTCCGTATAATGTACCAACCAGTCCTATGTTATGGCTGGTTGGCACAAGTGCACACATGAATGCACACTTTACCAGCCCCACTCTCCCCTACTGATTTCCTTATAGAAGTGTAGTGGAAATTCTTAGCACATCCAGCAACTATCAGCATGAGAACTAGTCTGAGCTTCTCTTCTTGGGATCTTTTAGGTCTTATTTTTAGCACTTAAATAAAGTGCTAAAAATAAAGCTTAAATCTGAGAGCTTTGAGCAACATCAAGACAGTCAGTGTGCTGAGCCAACACAACAGAACGGAATTAAGGTCAGAAAAATAAAATTAGTAACTGTGTATGACTACATTTTAAAAAATGGACCACCATCCCATAAATATACTTATATAAATAAATAAAAATATTTAGCTTAAAAAAGTACAAAACCATGAAACTTTAATGTAAACACATGTAACTGAGTAAATAGTAGTAGTAACTACTTACTATGCTGTATTCAAGGGTGCATTTACCAACATTCGTTTGGCTCCAATTCTGCAGTTGGTTAAATCTGACTCTATAACAGGGCTGACACAGTCCCTCCCTCCTGAATGCAATCAACTACCCACATACAAACAAGCACTGCAAGCTATAAAACAACCCTGCAGGAAGCATAAAAGTCGACTATTTGGTTTCAATCTGTAGAAAAACCAAGAGCTGTATTCTGAAAAGACCACAGAACCACCAACCTTGGTAGCTCTACTATATACTTTATACCAGTTTGAGTGATAAATGTCAGCCTACCTGGACTCATTTTCTCACAATCTATAGGAGTAATACCAGTCCAGGTTTGAACTGGAATAACGCTAACATACAGAGCCAGCCCAGGAGAGGACACGGTTCTTCACATTCAGAAGCAATGATATAATTTAGGCTGTATTACAGCAGCTTAAATGTTGGAAAATTAGATTCATTGCTATTTTGCAGCCCTCCTTCCACTTAAATCAACAAATATAGGACACAAAGGATGAGGTCATTTGAAGCAGAAGGGAAGAAGCATTCATATTAAAGTCGAAGGAAGGGTCTGTATAATATTACTAATGGCAGCAAATTAGTTAATGGATACCACAACAACAGCTTAAAAGAGAGACAGGCAGAAGGCAGTGTCTCCTTTGGGGTGCAAAAGGAAGAGGTTTTGATGAATAGGCGGTTGTGTTTAGCTGGGTATTAGGGAGCTGTGGCCCATTAGCAGCCATTATTAACAATATTAGGTCATACTGTTAGAAATAAAGGTTCTATGCAGGTACATTATTCATTCACCAAGGTATAAACAATGTAAATGTACCATCAGAGGTATAACTGTGGTTTTAAGGCCCAAGGCTAAGGCTACATATTTGTACTTTTCATAGCTTAAACTGAACAAAAAATAAAAATCCTGGAGATGAGACGGGGTGTGTGGAGTCAATACAATTTAGAAAATTTAAATTTCAATGGATTATAGTACAATTATGTTCCCTGACAAAAGGTTCTGAGATGTACCTTTGAGGGTACGACCCCAGCGACAAGAGGGAGTGTAAATGTACTTGTCCATAGCTGACACAATTTTATTGACCTGAAGCTGACAGCTTCAGAATCCACAACACTTTATGTGTCTTTTGAGACGAAGTGGACACATAGGGACAATGTATGCAGGATGCAACTATGTATTTAGCCTACCCAACTAGCTAGCCTAGCTAGGTGGCCTTTAACAAGTTAGCTCAGTG